ATGTCCGTCCTTTTCTAACTAACCTACTCGCATTCCTGCACATAGCACGGAACACAACCGTGGACATAGCACGGATCACCACCAAAAGATCGTGGACATAACCGACAAAATCGTGGACATTGGCTACGTAGTTCAATGTCCACGTTTTGTGGACATAGAGGCGCTGAAACCAGCTCAATCGCCTGTCCCAGCTAAATCGCGGGCATGGCCGCTCTCAGGATCCTCTCTGTCGCAGCACACCACGCACACACACTCATACCGATGGGGATTGGATTTGTGTGGCCACGCGCAATGTTACCAACGGACGCGGCCGCTTTGTCACTACAAAGAACCTCGCGCCACGGACGCCACACACGCTATTACTCACCGGTGACCGGCGGCCATGTTGCTCCGTCGAGCTCTCTGCTCCGAATACGGACAATCGAGGCGCGAGCAAGTCTCCCCCCCCCTCTCCGCTCCGAAAGTCAAGAACTTCTATCAACTTTGTTTTTGAATCTCGATCTCGCGATGGAACGTCTTCCTCGTCCCCGCGCGCGTTTCGGTTACCGGATTCCCCTGCGAGAGTCCCCCGGCCGAATCGGCGATTCGAGATTACCGCTCTTTTTTCTCCGCTCCGTTTCACCGTTTCGCCCGACAGAGCGCGGCACCGCGAGATCGACGGCCGCCGCGCGATAACACTGTAGGGCGGCGTTTCTCGGCGCGCGCGGCGCGGCGGCGAGCCGATACATTGTCAAGATGGTAGGCGCACGGGGCTGATCCGCTCGCTCGGCTCGGGGCAGTAGTATGGATTTCGCCGCGTGATTCCGTGCACACGGTCTGCCGCGAAACGCGAGAGATTCCCCGTTCGTTCTTCTCGCGACCGCGCGCGGAGGAGAAGCCGCGGAAGAGGGTCGGGCGGGCGGACGGGCCGCGCAGTCACGGGGCAGTGCGGCTTCTCGGGGGGAGGGCCCGGGCCGAGACCGTGCGGGGTCCGCGAGGGGGTGCGAATGGTGCCGCGCCGCGAGTGGAGTAGCGCGATCGTACGGCGCGATCGAGCGCGGTAATGAGAGTGGAGCTGTCACGGGGCGACAACGGCGCGGCAACGGAGCGAGCCCTCCACAATGGTGGATAACAGTTGCATTATCGAGGGAAACGTCAAGTTTCGCGACGGCAAGAAGGTGAGAGAGAGAGAGAGCGTTCCACATCCCGCGTGTATCAGGGCGAACGCCGACGATTTTCCGCCGCCCGGTCTCTTCCTCCCCTTTCTTTTCTCCGGATTCCTCCCTTTCCTCCCGCGCGGGGATCCCGCTCCATTTTTTTTGTTTCTCCCCCCCTCCCTCCCCGTCATCCCTCCGTCTCGCGCGAACGCGTCTCTCCCCCGCGTGAATTCGCCTACTATTGTACTCGCCGCGACGCTTCGCGCAGCAGGGGTGAGACGCATTGCGGCGGGGCAGGGAGGGTTGGAAGGGGGGGGGGCTTCATCCCTCCTGCCTGCACGCGAATTCGGGAAACGTGCGCCGGACGCGCGATGCTTATCGACGAGTCACCTGTGTGCACGCACGCACGCACGCACGCACGACTCGCCTCGCACACGATAAAAATTATGTAACGATTACGAGGGGTGGTACGCCAGGGGGAGCGTAGATTTGCGTAGCGTGCGTATGTATACTTTGCGCGACGCGCCAGCGGCGGCTCGTTAAGGTTTCCGCGTTGTACAGGCTGCCCCAGAGAAAGAGACGTGCGGCGTTCAGCGGGATTGCGGGGGAGGGGGGGGGGGACTGCCGCAATTTAATTTTTGACAGCAGGCGACGATTAACGTTTCGTTTGTAGTAATTGTTTTAATGTATTGCTACGCGGTTATTTATTTATGAAGGATGAACGTTTTGGATTATCGCTTTATTTTATTCACGTTTATTCATTTTTGTTATAAAAATATCAAACGGATGCAGATGTTAATAATTTATTGGTTAAATTTAAAAATTTTAACAAAACAATTTTTGTAATATTTTTTTCATATAATCTACTGTCATTGTAAATTTTCTAAAATACGTTTAAGATTTAATAAAGATGTTGTGTAAGAATGATATGATAAATTCCTGACATGTTTTATTCTAGACGTTATCAGTGTAAACATGTCTATCATGCCTGTTATCAGACTTTTATACCTGCAGTAAGATTTTATTCCGTTTAACACACATTTGATGAAACATGTTAAGAATCATATTTTTATATTTTCCCCAATATTTTCTGCGAGAGAGGATTGCAGTTTCTAACAATATATTATGTAAATATAAAATAATAAATGATATATTAATTGTTTTCAATTTTTTTATTTTTATTTATTACATTACTTGTTAAAGTGTCAATTGTTGTTATTTATATATTGATACTTTTCAAGTTATTTGGCGTGAAATATATGGCTGAAGTACGTGACTGAAGTGGCTTTGGAGAAAAGGAATTATTTAAGAAGAGGGATGTAGGGAGTAGCTAATCCAAGTCTATAAAAAGCTAGTTCTCGTTTGCTAATAAGAGGGTAGTAGAGCAAGGTACTTGAGAAGATAGTAGCCTCTTCTACTTTGATCAAAACGAACGTGTGCCACGTGAAAAAGTTCACCGCATTTTCGTGTAATTTTTATCACACAATCATGCTTGATAAAAATTATAGGATACAGTTATGAGATAAAATTTATAGGGCACAAAATAATATGTTTGCAGAAAGGAAAATTTTTTTGTGATGGAATTCGAGATTGTAAATATAATAAAATTGTATTAAATATTAGTTTAAAATAAAAACGTTAGATTTAGAAATGTTTTTAAATTGCAACATTTTTATCTCATTTTTATTTTAGGTAAATAAAGAAATAAGAAATTGTTTTATTACTTAAAAACGGATTTGTATTTTTGGCAATTATTATATTTGACATTTAAATACTAAATTATTTATCGTTGCATTATATAAACGAAGAAACGTATTATACTAAACTAAATATATAGTACTAAATATATTGCGTATTAATAAAACAATTAACGTTTGATTTTAAATTAAAAATAAGATCCTATATTTTTAGTATTTTTAAACATGTTATCTATTGCACAATTTTATTTCTATACGCTTACTCCCTTTAATATCTACGATAAAGAATCGTTTATGCTAAAAAATATAATTATTATTGAAATATCTTGCTGTACATCATACAACTGAACAATATAATTTATTTTTTTACAGTGGAAATCAAGATGGTGCGTTATGCGGAAATTATCGCCAGTAGCAGGTAAAGTCTCACGCTTGCTTTTAAACTCCTGCTAACAATAGTCTTACTGCCTTGTCGTTCGTTTACCTTAAACGAGCTAATAATAATCCATTATTAATGGGGCTTTGATAAGATTGTGTTAATGGCATGCATATGCAGATTTATTTTGTATCACGGTTGCATTACACGCAGCGAGTGAAAGAAGGGAGTGGGAGGGAGAGCAATAAGATAATAAACAGGAAACATTATACACTCTTGTAGCGTTCCTACTTTTTGATTACACTATCATGTTGATACGAACGATATCTCGCAATTTGCATAATAGACCCTCTCTTATCTCCGCTGTGTTGTATCTGCTTGGCAAACCGTGCAGAATGGATTATATTCTATTTTTACAAGATGTTCTTTGTTTTGATTTTGTGATTGAGAAATTTCTGAATTTACAGACTAAAATACCGCTTTTTGGCTCGTTAGGTACAAGTTAATATGTGTCTAAAAATGAGCTTATTAGTAAAACATTTGTCATCCCTTTTTTTTATATAAACAAAATTAACTTAAAATTTTGATGTAATAGAAGTGAATTAATTGATTCCATTTTACATAATATATTAATATAATCTTGCGGATGTACGTGTATAATAAAACGTGTATCATATTTTATAACAAAGTTTGATTGCACATAATTAAGCCAGTTAGTTTGCAACTTCGATTTAAATATTGTTTGCGTAATTGTTCGACATCCATTTGTTTAAAATTAATTGTAGCAGTTGTGTGACGGATTCCTGCATTTCGTTACAAATTGGTGAAATTTGTCATTGAAAAATTAATTAGTTCCACTTCTTCCCCCTCTCTCTCTCTCTCTCTCTCTCTCTCTCTCTCTTTCTCTCTCTCTGTAAAGGACCCTTCCTGCTTGTTATCAGTACAAAGGACCCCTCGTTTAGACCTTCCTAGGGTGACAGCTGGCACATCTGTTGCTGCCTGAAGCAACAAAAAAATAAGTTTCCAAGAACGGCTTTGCTTCTGGCAATAACCATTAATATATGATCCCTGTAACTTGAGGATATTTTTGAACCGAGAATCTGAGCGCTTCATAAATTTTCCTTATGTGGGACTAACGTAGGGAAACGTAAACGTATGAAACAGAATTTGTTTCGAGATATTGATAAATGTTTCTGTATAATTGATAAACGCGTTTATTATGATTTAATTGTTATCGAAAAATAATATTTATTTCTAGCGGCACGTCAAAAATTCATTTATGCATGTTAATAAATATAAAACATCTATTATTCCGTATATATTATACGTTCCGAAAGAAAAAAATTTCCTTCTTAGTTTATTAGAGAAAAAGAAACGTGCAATAAGTTAAAAATGTCATGTAACGATAAAATATATGCGAGACAAATGAATATTTCTTTGTTTTCCATTAACAGATTGCTTGCATTTGCAACTTTACGGGGACAGTAAGGATCGTTACAAGCAAGGCCAAACAAAAGCGTCCCTAAGCTTGCAACACTTTCTGGGAGTGGAGAGTGGTTTCACACTAGACAAAGAATCCAATACGATTGCTATAATTTGTCAAGACGTGACAGTCGTTCTCGCATTCGATACGCGAGAGCGATTGATACAGTGGCAAGTTAAGATCTCCAACAATTTAGGCGAAGGTAAGAGAAATGTAGCGAGATGTATTGTATGTTATAGGTATGCATAGAATTACACAAAATTAAGATCAAAATTATTATCTCTCTATTTAATTCACTGACTTTTCTCTCAACAGATCAGCAATTTTTGATACTCATCTCTTCGGTGCCATCTAAGGCGAAGTGCACTAACGGGCCGGCGCACTTGCATATTCAGGACCGTCGCTTCTGCATCACCGTCGGCGTGCCTCCCCGGCTCGTCGGTATCTGGGAAATCGCGCATCTCCGACGATACGGCGTGGTCGAAGGCAGATTTTGCTTCGAGGGCGGTTCGAGATGCGGCCGGGGGGAGGGACTGCACGTTCTAATAACCGATCAGGGGGACGACATAGTCAAGACGTTGCAGCTGGCGGCCGAGGGAAAGCTCACTACGAAGAAGCGATCGCCGCTCGGTAGAGAACAATTGCAGGACAGCCCGGGACGACAGCGCCAGTGCTCCCGCGCCGAGACCAGAGCCAGCGATTTCTTCTCGTCGGCCGTGTACTCGGCGTCGACGTACGAGGAGCACTGCGACAGCTGCAAAAATGAGAGCTCGCCGTACTGGTCGTCCGCGGAGAGCAGGCAGCAAACGGAGCTCGACGGCGATTACAGCTGCAGAGACACGATGTCCATTTCGGAGCTGCCCGATCAGCAGCCCGGCGGCGAGTGGCGTAGCTGCTCGCTCACACGTCAGGGTGCGACGGGCCTCGAGAGATGCGCGAGTTGCATCAGCAAACTCGGCACCGTCTCGAAGTCATCGACTCTGATCACCACGGCCACTATAAGCGGCATAAGCAGCCCCGCCGCGAGCACGTTGAACAATCTGTGCCACCTGCAGCCCCGTACCTTCGACCGGCTCTCCCTGTCCTCCTACAGCAGCAGCAGCCACGAGAGCGATTACTCGAGCTCGCAGCAGATCGAGTGCCAGTGCGCGCAGTCGAAAACCGCCCAGTCTCAGACGGCGCAGACGACGGCTCGTCAAATGTCACCGAGTCCGAGCACGTTGCCGCCGAGACCGCCGAAACCGTCCCAACCGCCCTCGCTGCCGGCGGCAACCAGCCAGTCCGTCACCGCCAAGAAGCCTAAGAAACCGCCGATGCCGCTGCCCGCCGAGCAGCAAATTTGCGTGCACACTCGAAAACCCCAACAGTCCCAGCAGACTCAGCAACAATCTCAACCGCAATCCCAACAGCAGTCCCAGCAATCCGCGGCTCGCGGCGCTGCGGGACCTTACGAGAACTACGATATTCCCAAAACGATTCTGGGGCATCACATGCTGTTGGAGCAAGGTCCGCAACCGGAACAGTATTACGACACGCCGAGGAAGATAAAGGAATGCCTCACACTGCCGAAAACCTATCCTAATTACGACACGCCTCAGATGCCGCAGGCTGTGGTCCTACAAGGATGCGGATGTCCTGCGAAGCTCACAGTGCAGTCACCCAGATCCTCGGGATGTCCCTGTCACAATGTTATGAGCTGGGCCGGCTTTGTTCTGCCTTACTGCCGACGCGGCGCGGGAATCGAACCTACCGGCGTCACGGTTCATCCGGTGAAGCTCTCGGGCGAGGGCAAGATGCCGGTGGTAAATGCCAGCGGAGAGGTTTCCATTTACGCAACGGCCAGAAGGGTGAATAAAAGTGAATCGACCGACGAGAAATCGGCTACGGAGAACTGCGGCTGCGCCGCGGAAGGTAAATCGAACAATTACGAGAACGTCGAGCCGGTGATAAATACGCAGCCGGAAGCGAAGCAGGCGAATTACGTGAATATCGATTTCACGCAATCGCTGGAGCACTACGAGAACAGCAAGGACGTTTTAACGAAGAGCAGCATCTCGCAGGAGGAGATCGAGAAGTTCGCGGATCAGTTGAAAGAACCCGAAGCGCCCGAGGCGCCGAGCGACAACAATGCTTCGAAGATTTGCGAGAAGTGCGGTCACGCGAAGGAGAAGGAGAACGATTACTTGGTCATGGATCCGGACAAGCAGAGAAGCCCGAAGAAGCCATTCCCCGCTTACTTGCCGATGCAGCCGGTTCACAACGCTTGCTCGAAGGAGATACTGTCGAGGCTCTGCAGCGGCATCAAGAGCTCGAGCAATCCGACGTTGTCGGGTTCCACGTTGCTCGAGGTGAACAAGAAGCGTTCCGACTCGGAGTACCGTGTGCCAGGATCGGCGATGCTGTCCAGCCCCTATCTCAGACGTCGTTATCTGGACGTGGGTAACGTCGCGGAGTCCAGCGCTAGCATAGGCATACTTCTCAGGAAACGATCCTACTCCGCGGAGTCCGCGCATTACCTGGACGACGAGAGCCACACTTTTCCGTCCACGCTTACCATCCACAAGTGCTCGAGCGAAGCGGATAAGAACTCTCTGGTGACCGGCGAGCCGCACAACACGCACAGCGCCAACTCCGAAAGCAAGATCGGCGGTAATCACGAGACCGGGCAAGTGTCGTTGACGGCCACGTCGTCTCAGCCGTCGTCGTTCATCAAGATCCGACGATCGTCGTCCGTGCCATCCAAGACCGGGCATAACAGAGACTCGTCGAGCAGCAACGACTCCGGCGTCTCCACCGGCTCGTTGAGCCACCGAACGGCGGAGTTCGTGGAGTTCGAGTTGTCACTGGCGGCGCCCGCCGCCTCGGCGGCGAAGCAGCAGAACATACTGTCGGTCTGTCGCAAGAGCCCACCGCCCACGTGCTATCACAGCAGCCTGCCGAGGAAGTCGAAGTCCAGCGATCCTCTTCGTGAAATCTCCTTCCAGTTCCAGAAGATCAAGATACCAACGAAATCTTCATCCGCCGAGGCCGACATACCCACGTGTTTGCCGAAGACCACCAAAGGCTTCAACAGCCCCGGCGAAGTTTCCAATGCACCTTATATCGATTCACGAAGTACCAGCAGCGGTACTTCCGACATGTCAGATTACATCGAAACTTTGTCGCTGTCCTCGCACTCTTCGTCTGACACGCCTGACAGCCTCAGGTAAAGTATCTTATATAAGTACAACTTTTGCGGAAGTTCTATTGTCTTTGTTCTTCTAACTTCTTAATTTATATACGACCCCATTAAAATATATAAAGTTGTACAGAATGCCTCTACAAATTTATGTGTGCGGTATTTCGGAATTTTATGACTTTATTTAAATTCCTTTCTGTATACACAACTTTGTTATTGATTTATTTTTTAGCGTAAAAGCTTGTTATTTTATTTAAAAAATATGAATTTTGAGTAAAATTTATAAAATGGAAAGTGAACGGTTTTACTAATTCATTTTCTTGTCATTTAATTCGAGCGTTCACGAAATGCTTAAATATTTTAATTGTGACCGATTTTTTTTTTGTTTTTTTTTAGATTAGATTCTCTCTTTGTGACTGACATAATAAAAATAGATTTAATTTAATGGTTTTATTCGTACTGTAGTAGTTTGGATAATTAATTATATTAATTTTTTCTAATAAATTATTTGTGTAATTAATACAAGAAAATCATGTATGTTTATACAGATTAGGAGGCAGAACGGTAGCAACGACTCTTCGACCTCGTAGCGGGAAGGAATACTATAAAATTGATCGGAGTATCTTGGTGGAACAGGGACGGATTCTCACAACGGCGTCTGCTAATTATGCAAATATCACTCCAGTGTTAGAAAAGAGCGAGTCGCCGTCACCTGGTTACATGAGTAGTTCACCCTTTGAGCAACCACAACCCACTCGTGAGCATTTTCTATTCCCCGAAGTAAGTACATGAGAATATAGATCGTATCTGAGTAAGAGAAAATAGACTGATTTGTACAACATCAAATTCCGGCAATAGTTTAAGTATTTTGATATGAAAGAAACAATTTATGTGATTAGAAGCGTTATCTTATCTTATCTCTGTAGGTTTTTGATGCAATAATTAATGTCATATTTTCTATTTTCCAGGAAGCTTGAAAATATTGTTTGGGAAGAAGAGTTAAAAACTTGAAGTTCCTAGGAATTCCAAACAAAATGGGTAAGAGTATTCACGGTAGAAATTATAATTGGGGCATTGTGACTATATTTACACTATACGCGGTTATCTGGGATTACAAGCACACTTTCAGAAGTATATATCATTTGACACATACCAATATATACGTAGTATAGTACGCCAAATAATCAAAAGTTTGTAATTCTTAAGGATACGAAAGCGCTCTTTAACGAAACGTTTTTTCGGACGTTTGTTTCATTGATATTTTCGTAAAGTCTTCCTCTAAAGAGCACAATCATAATCTAAAAAAAAAATGTAAAAAAAAGGAAACACCCATCTACTAAAAATCTAGATACTAGCGTATAGTCGAAATAACGTCAGTAATCAAACACTTCCTACAACGACTCAAACAATTTCTAAAATATGCTCAATAAGAAACTAATAGTTTGTATAGTAAGAATCCTGCCCTAGGGTAAAAGATGTGTATCTTGTACTTTATATGGGTATATCGTTTTTTAAATACTTTCTTATTTTGTATGAGTATACTTCTATATAGACTATTGTACAGCCATCTTTGAACAAAAAATTGAATGAGATTAATAACTCTTAGAATTTCAAATCAGAGTTCTTAAAATTTTGTGGATCAATGAATTAAGGCGTAACAAAAAAAAAAATTGTATTAGACGTCCCTCTTCAATTTTACAATTTGAAAACATTGAAAGATCATATCTCTTTTTGGACTTTAGGCACTCAAATTGGAAGTGTATAAAACATCAGGGTTGGATCCAGTGTGACAAAGTTGCAAAGCAATTGAAAATATTGCATCGATTATCTATACTCTATGAAATTTTAAGAATTCATATTTGGAGAATTACCATTAGTGACCATTTGTTTGTACTTTAAAGAAAATATCTATCCACATTCTGTACAACCAAAAAAGATGCACTGAACGTAGTCAGTTGCATAACATTCACAGGGTTTTCATACTTACAAGTTACTTTTTAAAGATTAAGATAAAGTGTTACAGCCTTTAATGGTCTTCTTTCTAATGGGACACATGGTGTGCATAAATACCATAGTCTCTGGGCAATCAAAGACGGCACTATATATATATATATATATATATATATATATATATAAATTATAAACAGGTATTTCTGAATAGGATTTACACGAAATGCGAAAAATCAAGTTATTTCAGGATTTCGGATTTTAATCATCAATGAACATTTTCAATTTTTATCGCATATATACATATTTTTAAAAATAACTTATCTCTTACTAAATGTTTTTACTAAATTTTTTGGATATCATTTATTATTGCAATGTACTTAATAGTTCATACTTAAATATTTAATTGTGATCATTGTGTGCGCCGTACACACATTTCCACGAAACGTTTACCAAAAATATTTATTTCTATTCTAACTGCATAGTCTATTTAATATATTAGGAACAAATAAATAAACTATAATAATGATATTAAGTAATATATTTACAACGATTATTTTAAGTCGAAAATTATATGCTATTCTATTTCTAATATTTCTTCTTTATAAACATGCGTACGTGAGCACACTTATTTTGTGCTTTTTATATTCTATTTTTTTTTTTATTATTATTATTCTGTTTTCCACGAGAGGAGATTACAAATTTATGAGAAGGAATATAATTCATATGATATTGCACATACAGTAAATATATCATGCTGAGAAAGTTAGCATAATAGTGATATTAAAACGCAATAATGAAATCTTAGAGTTATACATTTATAAGGCCGATGTATAATCAATGCACAGAATTCTGTTTTATATCCATTATACATTATTATACTACCTGGCAAGTAAATCAAACTAATGTTTATGATCAAAATCATAAATATTGCCATCAGTGATCAATGCAGACTTGCGAAGCATTGAACTTGCGGGACAATACATATTGTAAGATGTGTTATAGATTGCAACAGCATTAATAACTTTATATCACAGCACAAAACTGTTTTTTTTTTATGTCTAAGAAAATAGAAGTTCAACTTTTATTTTCATACATTAGATGTTTTGAAGGATTTTTTAATAATAACGCAAAGTTGTCTTGCTGTTGCATTCTTATCATATCTTGTTATATCATTCCTTAACTAACATATGGAATTGTTTTTCCATTTTAGGCCAAATCTTAACAGAACATTGTTTTGTACGCGAGAGAATATTTTTTACTCTTAAAACTTTATCCGCTTGTGTTCTATAAAATATACAACATACTGTTATAATAGCATTAAATCCATAAAGTCTATCGCAATATACGTTAATTTAGATCGAAGACATATAATGTTCTTTCACAATGTGTAAAGATACACGTGCAACTGATTTGATAAATTATAAAGTATTAAAGAGTAGTATTATTACAAGACTGAGAAATAGTTGTGGTGTGACGAGTGGTGGGGAATATCTACAGTGCTAGAATATGTATAATTTACATGTACAGGCCTATGCGCAATTGGAGATTGATCATTTGTAAAGAACTTTCGGTTCTTTTGTCTACTGAAACATTTCTCGTAAGAAGCTGGTCACCATTATATCTATGAACATGCAAATGAAAATATTCTTTTGGACTTTTTTTTCTTTGCTTGAAGTGTATAGAAATTATACAATAGTCAACTGCATTAAATAGACAGTAGAAGCCTTAATAAAATAATACTGTATACAAAAAAGAAGCGATTTGTAGAAAGTGATACTAACAAGACACATTGAATTATAACAAGTAAAATTTGCGTATATCGATTAGATATTTTACGCAATAGTCTAATAGTATACACAAAACAGTCGAATTTATATTCCTCTTGATCTGGATTTTACCAGGAGATTCATAAATTGTAATATCTTCAGAAAAATGTATTCATAAGATAGAGAACCGCGATCATGTATATCATGATCTGTATGTATGCGTTCGCGTGCGCACACATAAATACACGTATAACGAAGTGGAATTGCATGCATTTGATCAGAAGAATGTAATTGAGTGCGAATTTTTTTTGCGTACGTAAATTTATTGCACGAGTGATTTTTCTGTCTTCTCTTTCTTGTCGGTTTCCTATAGACTTTTTACATCATTCGTGCATTATTATTATATACATTATTATTATATATGAGATAAAGTCAAATTAATATTATTTTATTATAAATCAGCGATCAATTGACTTAAACATTTTTTCCCGTCTTAAGTATCATGTGTGTGAAGTAGAAAGTCACTCATATAAACACATGCTAGTCAGGAATCAAGTACTATATTGTAGTCATATATTTTTACTGCAAAGAAATTGTATATTATGCGTAGCTTAAAAAGTAAGCACATGTCTATTAATTTATTTCAGTCTGGGAATTATTTTTTAGTTCGGAAGACTTATGGACCAAACGTTTGTTAATCTGTGAAAATAGAGAGAAGAAATATTGATCATATTTTATATTGGTATACATAACTGAAGAATAATAGTATATAATAAGAGCAGATTTAATAATAAGCATGGCTTGTACTCGTTCGACACTTGAACGAATTTTATTGTTCTGTCCCGATTACTTGATTCTAAAAAAAACTACGACATTTTTATTGTTGTAATTTAATTATTGATCTATAGGTGTTATTTGTAATTTTGTTTAAATATTATTATAAATATTATTTTTTAAATAATTACCTCAAGTATATTTATAAAATATATCTCTGAAGTACGCATGTGCTAGCTTTTAAGCTATAAAAATCATATCTAAGAATTTACTAATGACGCATATTGATTAATTATATATAAATATATTTATATACTTAATCAACATGTGTTTATACATACATATATATCATATATATATATATATATATATATATATATATATAAATTAAAAATAAGTTTCAAAGGGTATTATCAATGCTCTATTTATAATTGATGTACATAGTTTTGGTGTAGCCTTAGCATATTAAATCTTTTATTTTGTGATTCGAGAATGTAGACGTAAAAGCGAATTTCAATTGTACATACCATGTATCACGACGAAATGCGCTCAAAATATCTTCAAACAATTTTATAAATTATTATTGAGATAATGGCGATTTAGTTACTCTGTGAGTACATTTTATAATATATTGGAATAAGCACTTAATCCGATTTCAGAATATACCGTTCTGAAATTATACATCCATGCTGTAGAAACAAAGACTTATACTTTTAATTTTAATGTTTTCTGTTCATGTTTCACAACGCTTTATTATACTCGTTATAGTACATAAATGTCGGAAATTAAGACTGGCTGCTTTTTATTTCTTATTTTTATTGGATATATAAAGAGCTACTTCAAAAGTACACAACTGATCTAAGTAATTCCACGTTTGATCGTCAATAACAGCTCTTTACATCTGATAGAAATTAATTATTTTAAACGATCTTATTTGGCCTGCAATAATGTGTATTTATAATTGGAAAAGAGAGATTACATTAGGTAATAGAATCGCATGATCGAAAAGCGAACAAAATCTATTTCCTTTGACAATCCGTTCTACAA